GGGTAGAGCGGGGTGGGGGAAGGGGGGGTGCGGGGCCATTCACAGGGCTCCATACCCGCGCCCTCCCTCCCACCCGCCTGTCATTCCTGATGGGAAGTTTGCTAGTACTAAGTATATTGGCTTGAATAAGGAACTGGGTTTTGGTCTGAGATTATCATTGCAAATCCTTTTGGGGACACCCCACACCATGTCTCTGTGGCACTGGGGAACTCTCCTGGACACCCCTGACCAGAGTCTTGCCTGAGCCAGAGTGCGGTTTCTTCATGCCATGCCCACTGCACTAATTATACTGGCTCGAATAAGGAATTTCTTTTGTACAGCAAGTCCCTGGGTGGTAGCCGTGGGTGAAACTCCCTTCCCAAGAGACTTGGCTAGGAGGGAGCTCCCCAGGTTGGTTTGCCTCTGACTGTGACTGTGATCCAAATTGAGCTACAGTTAAAAGTTAATAGTTAAGGTTTTGCTTAGGAAGTATCACTGTTCCCCTTTTCCCTTGTAATAAACTTGTTTTAATTTAACATTTGCTAGGGAGTGAGCAGGTTCCTTTAAATTACAACACCCAGCTCTGAGTTATTTTACCAAGTTTCTGCATGGCAGTTGGACATTGCACTGCTCCTGGCATTTTGAAATACGGGCACAGTGAATACATGTGATGCAGAGGCTGCTGGAGTGCGCTAATTAGCGCACTTGAGCAGACTGGCAGCAAACTCGATTAATTGAGTTTGCTCTGACACATGCAAAATACCACGCATTGGAGCAGAGGTCTGTTGCTGGTGCCCCATATTTGCATGCAGCCATTTGTCCTGCCATCCACTGCCTGGTGGAACAGCAACGTAAAGGTTTTAAAGGTTGGGTGTCAGCTGGGAGGCTTAGACTCAAGAAGCGAGCATTGCGTTGAGCAGGGACATCCCCAGATTTCTTCAGGAGGCTCCTTGGTAGTGGGGACATTTTCTGGGATGACTCCATGATGGTTTTGCCCCATGAACCCAGCAGAAGGGCAGCTCCTTATTGGTAGCAATGGAAATAGCACATGCGGATGGCAAGTAAATTGGTGCCTGGCATGGCCAAAGCGTTCTTTGGACCAGACAAAAACATGATCAAGAGTGTCCAGAAGAGTCCCCCAGTGCCAGAGAGGCATGGCGTGGAGTGACCCAAGAAGAATTTCTATCCCTAATCCCAGCCCAAAATAAATTCCTTATTCAAGCCATTATACTTAGTGTGGTGGGCCTAGGGGACGGCAGTTAGCAGCACGGCATGAAGAAACCGTGCTTTCGGCCAGGCAAGTCTCTATTCAGAGATGTCCAGAAGTATTCCCCGGTGGCACAGGGACGGTCTGGGGTGGCCCAAGAAGGATTTCTGGATATAATCCCAGCCCAAATCCCAGTTCCTTATTCAGTTCCATGTTCTTAGCACAGCGGCTGGGGTGCTGTCTGTCAGCAGCCTGGCACAGCCAAACCGCGCTTTGGGCCGGGCAAGTCTCTGGTCACGGATGTCCAGGACAGTCCCCCGGGGCACAGAGGTATTCTGATGGGTGGCCCAAGCGGGATTTCTAGCCGTAATCCCAGCCCGAAAGCCAGTTCCTTATTCAAGCCATTGTATTTAGGAGAGTGGGCATGGGGGCTGGCAGTTGGCAGCCTGGCACGGCCAGACCGCGCTTGGGGCCGGGCAGGACTGTGGTCAGGGGTCTTTGGGACAGTCCCC